AATATAACTGATTTAATGATGTGTACCACATTCATTGTGACAGTTTAAACATTTATATTTGTGTAGGTGATGTGGGCTTTTGGTGAGGTTTTATTCATCCAAAGAATTTGTAGAAAATCCAAACCAGGCCTCAAACTGACCTGTGTTTATTTGTCAAAAATGACCCTGCTTTTCACTGAAGTTTTACAGTATATGATTGAATCACTTTTGGCACCGCTGCCTATGAGCCCTGGAAGGTGGGGGATCATCTCGTGTGAGACACTTCCCAAAGCCTTTTCTTGTACAAGCAGTGTTCTTGGTAAAATACATTGTAAACTAATGCAGCTGCAACCGCAACCACGACCACAAGAAATCTCAAAATTCAGATCCTTTACATTTAGACCTTGTAATTTCTTGATATGACAACATAATCTGTTGCTATAAAGAGAAAGGGTTCTTCTTTATCTAATACTAATATTAGATATGCTGCTGTGACATTAAAAGCAATATGCTGTCATAATAAACTCAACTAAACTTTTACAGTAACTGATGTGAATCATTTGCACACATGTACATTTCTTTAGGGGTCAGAGCCCACGCAGCAGTTGAGGTTGTATGGGGGCACATATGGCAGTGTAAGCACCGGAGAGAGTTTAATTAACAAATCTGAAGAAAATTTTACTTACTCTATGACATGTCATATTGCTTTCTTTCTGATAAATGTATCCCTCGCTTAACTCGTGTACGGTCCATGTGAAGGATGAACTCACATCATCTTCATATCATCCTCCCACTGCTAACCAACCCTCTCCTTCCTGGTGGGATATTAATGACCTGCAGCCCAGATATATTGTCAGGAATACAAAAATGGAAATGTGTCTTGGGCTCACACAGCTGCACACGTGGTTTAACACATGTCTCGTGTCACTGCATTAGTTCAGCAATCTGACTAAAAGCAGCTTGTGTGTGCAGCTTCCACTCCCCGTTGAAAGGGAGACTCTACGGAGTGGCTTTCACCTTACAAGCTCTGACGCATGAATATATGGCAAAGAGCAGTTTTATCCCTTGCTCCTTTTGCAAGTCTTCCAAATCACTGTCCACATAAAATATAGTACTATCTACAAACTATCTTGACTATATATTTGGAAAACTACAAAAAGTTTAGTTAAGAAAGTTTCGATTACCCAGAAGTATATTCTATATATGTAATGGATAAATTGACCTTGTGCTCCAGCACTTTACATTTCCATCACGTCTAGTCTCCAGTAACTCTTAAGAGATGTTTCTGATCTGCATCCAATTACAGTTGCGCTCTCGTGGTTCAGTGAAGCATCAGAATGGCTCTGAATTAATATCTGCTCATAGGTTGTGATGTTGAGATTCAACAAGACTGCAGCTGCACACTGGAAGAAACAGGCACTTACCTGAATGCATGCTTTTGTGCACTGTACAAATGAGGCAGAATCCAAACCACAGTAGATAAAGGAGAAAAAGATCCTCTACACTCTACGTTTTACCTCTGACACTCAAAGCCACAAGGCTTACTCGTGCATTAAGCCACATATAACTGCATTGTAATTGCCTTTTTTTGAGAGTCAGAGAGGTATTGAGATACACACCAGGGTGCCCAGGTTGTCATAATGTTATGGCTGATTGGTGTATCTATCTATCAGTGTATCTATCTACCTATCTATCGTGTGCCGTGTGCAGCATAAAATCAGGTCGTAGTTGCTCACAATAACAGAAAAAGGGTAATTATTATTACCTGAAATCTTCATTAAAATGACAACAGTTTGTTTCACAGCACTAACGTGGCCAGCTGTTCGCTGCCACGTTATTATACGCCTCAAATATTTACCATAACACATTTATACCTCCATGCCTTCAAAATGTCAGCAAAGCTGGCGTTCAGACTCTAACATGCTGCCCTCCGAGGAACACTCTGATTTCATATCCGATATAAAACAGAAATGCCACTGAACTGCTGTGGCCTACATCAGAAAATAGAAGGAAAGAGTGCAAATTATGTTTGCTAAATGACACAAAGGGCAAATATAAAAAAAAGGTGATGAATGATTTTGAAGATTATTGTCATTTATCTTTTATTCATCACGTTAGGGAGATGAAGTTAAATAAACTCCATGTTACAATCTGCAGTTTGCTTTATCTAACAGTAAGCTGTGAGGACCATTTATGCTGACAAAAAAAAACCGAAAAAGCTACAACAGTTTTTTCCCTGCAGTTAACTTGCAGCCCTTTTCTAGACACATGGACATCAAAGTCCGATATAAACTTCGATCTACTGAAAGAAAAAGTTTTGGTATACAGTGTGACCGAATCTAACTCAACTGAAAGCAATAGATAGAAATATCAAGCCATGCATTTGTTTCAAGCAAAAGAAGACTCGCCGCCTATAATTTTTCTGCTGTGAATAGTTGCTTTGATTGCAAATGTCTTCTTCTGCTCTGTCAAAGTTAAAAAAAAAAAAAAGAAGCTCTAACTTGTTTTCTGTATGCCTGGTTAACAAAGAAGAGCTTTGAGGCTACTGTAGTCAGCCTTTCCACTGGTCTTGTGATGTGGCATCATTAGAGGAAGTGCTACTGGATTCCCAGAGATATCAATGCTGCTGTTGACAGCCAAGTATAACAAAGTGCTTCAGACAATCAAAAAAGCTAGGACCATCAGACGGTTTAATATTGAATACAACTTAAATAAATATACTGTATGGGACATCTTCATGATAGTGATAGGCACTCATATATTGAATCAAAGCTTAACAACTATCACATCCTTTGGGAGTATATAAGGTTAATAAAGGAAATTGAGGCTGTAATGTTGATCTACCTCATGAGTATTTTGCACATTCTGTGTGTTCCTTATGTCATTTCGGGATACCTTTTGCTCGACTTCTCAGGAATCAAACCCTAATACATGTTGAAAGTCTTGGTAATTGCTCTAGGTTGACATTTCGCTCAATATCCCCACTGACATGAGTAAACAGTCACTGTTCAGTTAACGTCACCATGGACAGCCCTGACCACAGCCTGAAGAACTCATAGGTTATTGCTTTAAAATTAAAGCGTTTCTCTTGTGTAAAGTGCATTTCAGATACCCTATAATCAAAGTCCTGCAGCCATCACTTGACATGTGTATCCTCTTTTCTCCAAGTCTAGCTCAGAACTAACATCAGTAGGTTTGATGGATCTGACAGAGGGAAGTAAGAAAATCCAAACACTGATCTCAGACTATTTCCTGAGATTTGGTAATAATAAATAATGAAATGAAAGATCTGCACACTGCGACTAAGGTACAATAAAGTCAAAGCGCAGACGTTTTGGGCAGAGCCCTTTCTCAGCATGTAAAAACAAACTACAGGCCCACAGGCGACCCACATATAAACACATCCACATGCAGGAGGTTTAACACAACATGTCATCATAATCATTATCATCATCATCGTGTTGATGGCACAATGGGCCGGTATACAGCAGATGCCTGCAGGGGGAGTCAAAATATACTACAGTAATCCACAAACAGACATATAGCAGTTCTGTGAGGCTGAACTTAAACACAGCTGTAGTTAGAGCTCAATACTCACATCAGCATGCTGACATGTCAGCGTTAAGCAGGTATAATGTTCACTATCTTCATTTGGCGTGTTAGCATGCTAACATTTGCTAATCAGCACTAAACAGAAAGGACAGCTGAGGCTGATGGGAATTTGATTAGTTTTGTTATTTATTTCAGGTATTTAGTTCAAAAACCAAAGCAGATACCATTTGTTTTAAAGGGAGGCTATAATTTGTTTTCTTATTTTCATTAGAAAATGCTAAAAATACTTTTTTTTGTAGTTTTTGTTTTTTCCATTCTTAATTTTTGAAATCAGAAACTGAAATTAAAAGAAGGAACACAAACTTTCAAAGGCTTTCTGTGTTAAATGTGGTGATATATAATCAAATATATATATATATATATATATGTGTGTGTGTGTGTGTGTGTGTTTCTATCTAATACTGTGTGTTACTTGTGTAGATATGTATACAGAAGGCTATTCATTCTCAAATTGTCTTTTCAATGAGCCAACACTGAATTCTGATTCATCTGTCAAGTAAACAAAATCCATCTGTCCATTCACTCATTTCATCCTGCTCAGGGTTGCCTGGGGACTAAATTTAGAGGCTACAGATCATCTGAGCTGCATAGTTTAGGATTTTAGGAGAAAAACCGAAGCAAATACTAAAACCAAACTTCTTGCTGAGAAGCAACTGTGCTAACAAAAGAGCTACTGTGTCACCCTTTATGAAAACCAAAAGTTGATTATGCTCTGCAATCAAGAGTCAAACACACATCTACCGTAACAGCAGGGCTTTCAGTCATTCTCATCCTTTATGCTAAAACTGACACTGACACATAATGTTAAAGTATATACAGCACAATATTGACCCTTTTCTTTCTTTAGCATTTACTGTAAAAATAACAGTAAATATACTGTTTCAAATCTGTGAATTGAGCTTTAGCAGCATCGTGTAGAACAACAACAGCCAATAGTTGCTTCAGTCCCAAGACAATAAATTCACTGCCACTTCACAAAGTGATGTTGGTATGTGGCTTGAGTAAAGCTGAACTGTTGTTTTTTTTGGCAGTTTGGACTGTTTGTGTTAGCAAGCAAGTTCAGAGAGAGCAACTACTGATACAAAATACAAATCTCTCCAGCACAACTGTCCTTTCTCTCTGCAATCTTGATAATCAATTCAATTATTAATAATAATTTAGTTACTTTAGAAATGGAGGATTAGCTGAGTTATCCTATATAACCCTAGAAAACAGAGCCAGGTTTATTGTTTGGTTTTCACATAGATGGAATTTGCCTTTGCATATGGGTGCATAACAGTAAACATGTTACAAGAAAAACATGAATAATAATATAAAAAAAAGGTAAAAGCAATAGTATCTAACCAAATAACCATGATACATAAAACTGAAAAAGGCAGTAGAGATGGATTGCATCTTGATTTACTCACCAGAGGGGGCGCGCTCACACTCCTGTAGGTTACACTTCTGGAGGCTCTCAGGCTGCGGCTCATGGTCACATTGAGCTTGATCCACTTCTTCATCTGCCTTTGTGTTAACACATTTGATGAGCCGACGCTGCACTCCTCCGCCGCAGGAAGCTGAACACTGCAGAGAGAGTTATTAATTCATATTTTAAATAGCAAAAAAAATGTTTGTATGTCATTATTTATAATACCTTTTTTTTTAATAACAGCCTTAGGTTGTCAAAACTTTTGTAGTTTTGTTGTGATGATCTTTCAATTTTATCTGTGTTGCTGGACCCTTCTCTTCTCCAGTTACTTTGATTGAGACTGACAGGGCAGGGACTGAGTTCAGTAGGTTCATCATGCAGTGACCGATAACTGATGGCCAAAACCAAATGTCATTTCAGTTCATTACAACAAGGCTGAAACTGTTGTTTCAGGTTTGCCTAGTACATGTAATTTATCAAAGGTCAGAGGTGCATTTTAGGGACCGAATGCTTTATTTTTCATTTAGGATTTGTATTGAGTTTGATTCAGATCTTTATTTTTCCACAAGACAAGAGAAAAACACTTAAACACACTTTAACAATTAAAATCATTAGTGCTGTACTATGTATGCAGTTAAGAATCGAACAAAAGGCTTTTGATAAAAGCCACAACAAGGCAATAAAGAAGTAGTAGTTGGGCTTTTTTGACATCTGTTTGAGACTGATTGTGCTACGTTTATGTCAGTCAAATCTGGCAACACTGGATATATTCTCATTATTTGTACATATTTTGACAGATGCGCACAGTAAGAAGACAGTTTGACAGCAACTTCTTCTGTAAGCATTACCTTGTGCTGTTGTTTGCATGTGATTAATTCCCAGTGTCATAATTCAGAGTGGGTCAGGTTAAAATGAGATGATTGCATACAGCTGTTTGTGTACAAATCTCAGGGATAATATTGATTTTGGGTTCTACAAATGATACCCCACAGTTAAATAATATGATTTTTATTTTATTTTACACTGCCACTTAATCAATGTGACAAAAGGTAAAAATAGAACTGGATATGTAGGATTTCACCTTCTGCCAATTAGTTAGAGAAGTCAATTCTAAATCTAGACACAGAAGTCACACATGTCATTTCCTCCCCACCCACATCCAGTGACCAGGACCTCAGAGGTTACGGCTAATTTTCATGTTCTTTATGTCACCTCAATAACCACACATGCTCCTCCACTCTGTCATAAACGTAAGATCCTTGTGTTATTAATAAACTAATTAATCAGTATTATCTGGTTGGTCTCCCCGGGTTAAACTGTACATTCTGTGTGGCGTATCATGAACCACGTTTTATAGGTTTTCTGTCTGTTTTTTGTTTCTATTACAGATTTAGAAACTGCACTGACTCTACAAAAGGATTGCATTTTTTTGAAAACACTATCAATTATCCTGTGACCCTGAACAGGATCAAGAGAGGTATAGAAAATTAATAGTGGGATGAGAGTCATGAATTATTTATTGATTTGTATACAAGTTCTTTAAAATGTAATTTAGATAATTTGCCCCCCCCCGGTAATAATACCACATCAAGTTTAAATCAATGACAGGGAATTACAGTCTTCATGAAATTGGCCTATGAATCACACATCATGCCGGATAATTTATTCTCTCTTGTTTTGAACATATTTTTGTGTCTGTTTGTGTGTGTAGTGTGTGTGTGTGTAGTGTACCTGTCCCCAAGATCCAGTAAGCCACTGAGTACAAGACTGACTATGACATGATTGGATGTTGCTGGGCTGCAGGTCCCTGTTGCATCGATCCTCCTCTGGACAGGCGACTATACGCTGCTGCTCACCCCCTCCACACACCTCAGAGCACTGAACAACACAAAATGAAACTCATGTTCTCTGCACTTACTGCTAAGGTTTCACAGTGGAGGAAATAGTATGTACTAAGAGGTTTATATGGGTGTATTTGTATATTTTATAGACAATGTGCACAATTAAAGGATAATACCAGTACTTTTGCATGAATCACCATTGCACTGCAAACTTTACATTAGACAGACTGTTGGTTTCTATATGCTTGAATGTATTTTCTGAACTTCCAAAGAAGCCACTGGCTTTTGTTCTGAAATGATGAAGTGAAGTTCTCTTTGTTCAAATACTTGTTGGAAGCTCTGAAATCCTAAACTTCCTAACAGCAAACATTTTACTGCACTATGCCATCAAATTCATATTAAACCTTTCATGACAAAAATAGTATATTTAATAGTTGACTGTCCTCTGTGTTTGCCTTTCCAACAGTATATGAATGATCACGCTTAAATCTCCTAATCTCCTACCACTTAGGCATCAACCCAGAAGACCAATGCACCATTAAAAAACTACAATAACAACAATAAGATAATGTTATGCAACTTTTAAGTGTCTGCAAATTGATTTGAATTCTGGTGTGAAATAAATAGGAAAACAAATAAATCTATTAAAATGCTTAAAGGAGATCGCTGCATGTCAGATAAACTTTTTAACATTTCCTTCCATTTTATCCTATTCAAAAACCAGAGAGTACACTACCGTATCTTTTCACAGTCTTTCTCATTATATTGCCAACTACTCACCTGACCCCAGGAGGAGGAGTACCACTCAAGACATGGCTGAAGGTTACAGGGAATCTGGGTTTGTGGCCTGGAGGACATGGCCCTGCAGTGGAAAGGTCGTAGGGGTCTTTGATCCCGCATGTCAAAACACTGGACCTCTCGTGATTTAACACCACCTTCACAATTCTTGGAGCACTGGGAAAAGACATGCCACGATTGTTATTCAAACAGCATGAGCTACTACTTTCATCCCATAGAGTCGTTTCATAGTCAAAGCAACTGGATTTTCTATGTGGTTTTAATGGGTTTCATCACTCATCTAAGATATTTTACTGCTATGAACTCAGCTGAAGTGATGGATGATTAGCAAAATGTCTTCAAGAACAAATAGCAATTCCAGTTGCCACTGACTTACTACATCTGAATAACTTAAAAATATGCATAGACGGTGATAACTGTGAATATTTATAACAAGAAAATCCTCTTAGGACAGCCTTTATACTGAAAGCACTTCTGATTTGTCCAGGACTTTATCCTCTGTGGAACATGAATGTCTGTGTCAAATTTTATGGCAGTCCATTTGATAGTTGTAGAGATATTTCAGTCTGGACCAAAGTGGTAGACAAACCAACAGAACGACCTAGCTATCACTACAGCCACACAGCTAGTAAATTAATAAAACAAATTGGTGTCATGATATCTGTGTTTTTAAAATATACCTTTTGCAGTCCATATACACAAACATATACACAGCTATTTTTAAGGTAAAAGCCTACAGTAAATCAATGACCACATCATACATTCATGTTGTTTAGTATAACAGTTAGTCTCACCTTACTCCATTCTTCAACTTTCCATGTGGAGCAGGGGCGCAGGTAACATCGCTGGGCTGGCGCTGGCCTCTTGGCTGGATCACAGTCAGAGTCTGAGCCAGTGCTGCAAGCCAAAGTTCTCCAGATGGCACCCAGACCACAGCTGGTGGAGCACTGCCCATAAATGTGGTAACACAAATGAAAACACTACTTACTATTTGCAATTTGAAGACTGGATGCACAACCAGCTCCAGCAAGCACAATAAATCTCACTGATAACGATGCAAAACAGGGAATTCTGAGATTGTTTGTGTGTATTGTGGTCAGGCTTTAAGTATTTTCATGATATGCAAATAAATGCTCATTCTTTAAAGGTTGTGTACAACACAGCAGGGGTGAGAGTAGCAGCAACTGCCTGTCAAATATACTATGAGAATGCATTATATAAGCTGACATTAGCTGGGTTAGCTCTAGGCCATGATAGAGCTCAGCTCATGTCTCAGAAGAATTCAGTTAAATGTCTGCAGGGACCAAAACTAGACGCTCTGTCTGCATAAAAAAAGCAGACAGAGACATAAAAAATGAGACACAGATGTGCTTCCTGCTACAGTATAAGTACAACACCAGAATGTGTGGATTAATGCAGACTCACAGCGCTCCAGTTTCCGGTGACCCAGTAGGCAGCAGTAGTGACATGTGTGGAGGCTGAAGTTTGGACAGATGTTGGCACTGGAAGTGGCAACAGAATAGGTTGATTGGTTGGCAAACTGGGCACAGCAGGTGTTGTGCTATGTTTAGGAGCGGCTGCTGTGTTTGTTGGAAGCTGATGTGAAGGCCCAGGGTCACTGCTACTGCTTCTCACCATCATGGGAACGACTATTTCATTGTAGTCAAAATCAGCTAAATCAAATGATGGAGATTGGGATGTGGAATCTGTTCCAGTTCTTTCAGTGAAGGCAGGTTTTGTCGGTATCTGTTCCATTGTAGCTGGCAGAAAATCAGCTGGAGAAGGCTGTGTGGCTCCTTCCAGGTTTGTAGGAGGTATGATTTCTGTTCCAGTAAACGATGTGGAGTCCTCAGAGGCCTCTTGGTTACCTGAGATTGGCACGAAGGGAATGGGAAGAGGACTGGATCTCTCAGAGGCAGGAAGTGAGGTTGTACTGAGGTCAGGATCAGTATCCCATGAGTACTGACTAGTGGCATATCCTGTCTGATCTAAGTCCAAATCCTCCAATGTGAAGGTAGTTGGAAAGATTGTTGATTGACTGGTTGTTTGAGGTATTTCTGAAACACTCTTGTCCAGTTGGACTTCAGTCTTAACTTGAGTTATAGTTCCTGGCGTGGGAGAGCCTAGAGGTTCTGGACTCTCTTCACCTTCTTGGTCTGCAGAGATGTCGGGAACAAGTGTACTTTTTTCATCGTAACTGTACTCATAATCATCATGTCCTTTTGTCTCCTGAGCACTTATTGTTGTAGAGACAAAATTATCTATAGTGGTTTCATGTCCAGGAGTGGGAGCAGCATGTTTTGGTGTCACAGTGACATTCTCAGTAGGATTGTCCTCTGCAGTAAAATTTTCAAAGTTGTTTTGAGCCTCCTTCCCATATTGCTCCCATTTCACATCCTGCGTTGGCTCCTTTGTAGTGAAAATCAGATCAGGTATTGTGCTAATGTTTTCAGGCCGCCACAGATTGTCATGTCTCTCTTTTAGTGTTTGTGAATGCTGAGTTGTAGATGGCGGTGAGCGATTGGTCGACACAGGCAGAAGATAATCCTCAGAAAGGAAGTCATCCAAATTTTCGGAATTTGTTTGCATAAATTCCTTTGTTGCTGCATTTTCATTGTCCTTCACATTGTCCAGATTTCTGCTCTCTGGATCTTCAGCTTTTACAGTGTAGGCAGTGGCCTTTGAAGTTGTAGAAACAGCTGAAGTAGCTGTGGGAGCTTTATTCTCCATGTAAGCATTTTCTTTCACACTGCGGGTTGGCTTGGCCTCCTGTGGAGCACTAAATCTGTGACTGTCCCCTGAATCTTTTCCATCACCCTCAAAGTCATCTGACAAGTCTTCATGGAAGTTGATAAAGTTATAGTCATAGTAAAAATCGTCAACTTGAACACTGTTTTCCGGAGAGCGATCAATATTCTCAATGTTGTTGTGGTAATGAAAATCTCCCTCAACAATGTTGTTAAGGTTATTTTGATTTCTTGGCTGGGCTCTGGTGGTGCTGTATTTGGGAGGAGGTTTGACGTCAGGTATGGAGTTAATTTCATTGAGCACTTCTTTGCTCGACCAGCCACTTCCAGACCAGTCGATACCAAAATTATCCACTACTTGTGGACAGTCCTGGATGTAGCAGGTAGTGACAGCAAGGGGCTTCTTTTGGGGGTCACAGTCAACACCTGTGTTTCTGGAGCAGGTAACATTACGGCGACGTACTCCACTTCCACAAGTCAGTGAACACTGCACGGAAGAAAAGACACAACATCTGATGATGAGTAGTGTTGTGAAGTGGTGAATTGTGATTCTCAAATCATGCTTCGGTTTGAGGAAACATCTTAAAAGGTCATCATTACATCACTAAACAAGTTGTGTCTATGTGTGAAAAAGAAGAAGAAATTACAAGGCAAGAAATACAAAGGACATGACCTCTATGTCTGCCATCGTTACAAACCTCTGAGGCAATATGCTGCCAATGAGCAATTAGCAATGTGCATCTATTCTGTGTGTGGCACTTAAATCTCTTGCTTTCGTTTGAAAAAGCCTGAGATGTCAAAATGTCTGGTGACGTGCTGCCAAAATGGAGAAATGCACTACATAAGAACAAGAAGATAAAAGCATTAATTACTTTATCCATTATTATGACTCATAATTTAACATCCTCTCTCACAGAACGACCCTTTTTAGAAAATGTGAAAGTAGGTGTAAGAATTTTTGAAGAACATTTTCATTTCCTTTTGAAACGGCACAATTGCATACAAACTGTAACCTCATATTTCAAACCAGGCTCACCTTTGACCAACTGCCAGTGGTCCAGTCAGCGGGGCACGGGATGTGTGTGTTGCAGGAGGATAGCGACTCAGGTTTGAGCATGTGTTCACATTCACTGGGCTGCAGAGCTTTCTGCTCCTCAACACTTACTGCCTGGATGCAGAGCACCGTCCTTTTAGTCTGTCCTGAGCTCCCACAGCTCGCTGAGCATTTGTGCCACTCTCCAACCCACCATCTACAGACAGAGACACAAATGTTTCCAATTTAATGGTACACTTGTGATGGAAAATTACAAAATTCTGCAGCTCAGCAAATGCCCATGACTCACCCATTCAGATTTTGATGGCTGTGTTATAAAGGTTCAGTGAGTACGATTTTATCGCCCCCCACCACAAAATGCTATTATGTCTTCAGGGTCATTATAGCGTTGCTGGTCAATAGCAATGTCTTAAAATTTGCTTAATTCAAAAGGTGAGCTTTCTGGCTGTCAAAACTTTCAGTCCCTGACTGAGATTTTCAACTGCTCAACAACCATCATTATTACTATTATTGTCATAAAGACACAGAGTGGTAAAGATTGAAAGCTTTGTGTATGATGTTCTCTATGTGACGTGTTTGTTTTAAAGCTCAGCAAAGATTATATTTTAATTTTAAGTCGCTGGCTTGAAAGTGAAGTTGAAGTGCTGAGCTACGAACAATTAGCCAGAGCTCTTGGTTTAATGCAAACTAAACTGTGGTTACTCATTAGCCATTCATGTTAGCAAACAGGAAACAATTACACACAAATGATTACCCGTGAAATTACTGATTATTAGCCGGAATGTATATGATCTCCCACCTCACACAATATTGCTGCTGCTATTCTCGACATGCACAAAGCAATGTGTGTATGCATTGTTTTCTTGTGTACGTGCCTAGGTGTATAGCAACAATGAAATTGAAATGTTACAGAAAAACTACATTATGCAAAGCACTTTCAACAACACGAATACGAACCATTAAACATCATTAATTGTAACATCCACAGAAAGAGTGGATGATGGCTCAATCCATCTGTAGCAAGAAGTCATATTGTAAGAGGAAATTCAGATGTTTCATTACTGATACTACCACAACTCAACAAGCTGCACTTTGGTCAAATATAATATGTGGCAGGAAAAATATCTGTAAAGTGTTGATTCTTTGATCTCAGTGAAACCACCTGCTAGCTGTGTCCAATCAGCAATTTCCCCTCTTCTGCATTCCTTCACTCAGAAAAAAACAACCGACATCTGTATGCTTTCAAACTAACCACAATTTATCTGAGTGACTTAAAAAATACAATCAAGGATTAGTGTTGTAAATGAGGCTTTCCGGAGGAGAAAACACATTTTATTCTCCATAGAGTCACCCTTGTCCCCGGGAGCTCCCCCTTGAAGTTCCATACAAAATGCTCAATCAACAGCAGGTTGGAAAATAGCCAAGATGGAGAGAGAGGCCAAAAGGTTTGATTAACAAGTGTATAACCACCTGGAAATAAGAATTGTGTTTTTGTTAACTTAGAATGAGATACTTTTATCGACAGAAGCCACCATGTTGAACCTTTAGGGTATTACGGCCACTGTAGTTTCTACTACATACCTGGAACTGGACAGGAGGGTGAGGTGTACTCAACCTTTGAAGGACTGGTGTGTACCATGTAGTGGCATCTAGCAGTGTAGTTGCAGATTACAACTCCCTCGCTTCACCCTCCCCTTCCGAGCATGAAGAGAGCCAGTGATGGGTTACTGTTTAGGCTACTGTAGTAACATGGCGGTTCAACATGGTGGCCTCCAAGGAAGAGGTGGTTGTGGTGTTGGTAGATAAACAGCTCATTCTAACATAACTATTCTTATTTTCAGGTGATTATACACTATTAAAAACATAGTTATGCATATCATATTCCATTTCTGCCAACAGATCCTCTTAAATGTTACACACTGGACCATGAAGTAGTTTAGGTTGCAGGTTAGGATTAAACAGATGTTAACAACAACCCACTATTTTGGTCACAATTTTCACAGTTTTGGCCTACAATATTTGATACCTTTAGTGGGGTAAAACAGTAGACCCAGACCGCCACACTGCCCTTTTTTGAATTCATGTCCAGCGCACCCAAAGCCACACAGGTTATTGCATTCACCACTCTGCTTGTAAGGAGGCTTATCCCTCCCCATCTACTCATAATAGATGGAGCCATGGGATACTGCAGTGCATTAGGCTTGAGTGTATGAGCTTCTCCTCGAGAGGTTCCCAAAAGACCTTCCATAAAACCTGGCAACCCTTTTAAAGAACATATTGACATGCTGGTTATCAATGAAGAAAATAACTGAGCTGAATACAAAAAATAATGCTACAATTATTGGAAATAAAGGTTATTTTTACATTATTGCAAGTATACTTTTTTTTTTCCTGCTGTAGAAATATACTAAACCTGCAACTCCTGCAGATATTGAACTATTAGATTATTTGGTTCAATACACACAAGTATAAGTGTTTGATCCTGCAAGGGTTGAACAACAAGTATGTGTCTGTAAATACAGCAGTATGATGCAATGAAACTCACATGGCTGGACACGGATCCTTATTACAGCTGGTTTGGTTATTGTCAGGTCGGGTTAAGGGGTCACAGAAGTGCGCCTCCACTATCCCAGTTGTCTTTTCCACACAGTGAACAATCTGCCTCTGAACACCTGGAACAGGACCGAAAGGAGAGCTTTTGAGACTAAGCACACACAAAAACACATACATGGCTCCCAGCTGCATCTTAGTAATGATATAATAATAGCCTCCCTAGAGGGCAGCTGGTAGGCCACTAGTATTGATTGACTACTAGTAGGTGGTTGTAAAGCTAAGACCCAACCAGAATTTAAATTACTGAATACAGAACACCATATTTATATGTTATAAAACCAGGACCCAACATGACACACAACTGAAATGTCCTATGAATATAAAACCAATTGAATGTTTTAATGTTCAAATGTTTCAAGTAGCAAGGATTTTAGTTCCACAAACCAACATGGTAAAATAAAGTTGTAAATTCAATGCACATTTCTGTTTACTATCATTTCAATATACATATGTAACACAAGCACAACATCCCAAATATTCCTCATTCCTATCTCAGCAAAGCCTAAAAATTCCCATTTAAAATAAGATTAGATGGACAGAAATACATTTAATACATTTAAGTATCAAATTTCAGACAGAATTACATAAAGCAGTGGACAAAAGGACTTGTCTCCTAAGGCTGTGATAGATTTATCTCCACCTGTGATACCTCTCTCAATCATTACTCTCGCCCTCCTGAGGGGATTTCCACCCTGTCAGAGCAGGAGACACCTCTCACCTCTCTGTGCCCTCTGCTGAGGGCCACAATGCATGTCTGATAGCTAATTTACACCTTCAAAGACATCTCTTACAGGACAAGCCAGCTACATTAAATTGAAAGCCAGATGGTGACAATAAGAAAAAAAGAAATAAAGAGAAAAAATGCAGGAGAAACATTCTAGCCATGTAGATTGCAAAGCCTTTTTGGCTAAATTTAACATCCATTTGAACAAATAATATACTCATACTGTGGTAGATAATTTGGTTAAATGTGGGTAAACTCCTGTTCCTGGTACCTGGTAACAGGACGTATGGTCTCTTGATGTGCTGTATTTATATGTGGGAAACTGGAGGAGAAAGTGAATTTCTTAATTAAAACATCTACGTCAGGAGTCAGCAACCTTTTCTATCAAAAGAGACGTTTTTGGCCAAAAAATAAGAAAAAAAAAATCTGTCTGGAGCTGCAAAACATATTTGAGCTTTAAAATGCTAATTTCTCGTTACAGATCAAGCCTATACCGGTAAGCCAGCAGCGTTGGTAGGGAAAGCAAACTAATCTATCTACACATTATTAAAATAAAATTAAATTGAATTTTATTAAATAACTATTAAATTGAATGCTTTTGGATTTGGAATCCATAGCTGGCCAGGGACACTCAAGACTAGAAGCCACTGAGGTTTGGAAAAATATAGAGGAACATAACATATGACACACATTTTAATTGACAAAATGTTTATTTATTTGGTGTGTAATGGCTATGCATTTGGAAAAGTTTTGAGAATGTATGAATCTACAACAATGATAAATGAAAATATTAAAAAATAACTTATTCATTATACAATTTCTATCAAATCCACATAGGAGAGGGGCTAAAGACCTGCAGGTTGCCTACACCTGCATGCTGTCTACTTACAGGGACATTTGGACTCATGTTTGTAACCCTTAGTACAAACAACCCAGAAACACTGCTGTGAAAACTACAGTTGTTGCTCTACTGGCATTTATAGTAATAAACCTCACCTGCATAACTCCAGCCTTTAACTCTCTGGGCTCCAAAGCTCAGAACAGGCTTTTGAATTTTTTAAACCTACAAAGACTTGACAGCCCAAAAACAATTTCCACCAACATACACAAATGCTTTGGCCTTGGTGGTCAAAAGGAGGGCATACTGAACAACTGAGTAAATACAGAGCACAACACATCAAAACTGTTCGCCTTGTTAATTTATTCAGCTTTCTGTGAGGAAAGGCAGAAATGGGAAAAAAAATAAACAGAAATTGTGTCAAAGATGGGGGATGGAGATGCAAGGACAACAACTGTAAACTCTCCCAACAGAGCTGGAGGTGAGACAGCAACAATGAGAGGTGAACCTGATGAACTGGATTCAAATAATATACACACAAAGGACACACAGTCCACAATATATTTGCTGTAGTTTGTGCTCAGACATTTTTTTGGAATCATTTAAAGCAAACATCAGTCATGATTTTTAAGGTACATAGTAGAGTAGTTCTCTCCTGGCGTGGGGTTAAATAGGGCTTTCAGTCTAGTGTGCAAAGCTTGATATGTGATCAAATTCAACACTTGTTTCAAGCTGGGCTACTGCCTTCGAAAGCACTGCCAGTTTCATCAGTTTACTGCTCAACCACATGCAACATGCTTCCAAATCCTATATTTGTCCAACAGTACAAGCCAGTAGTTTCATTATTTTCCTTCCATTCACAGTGTAAAGCCCCTTATTGATCTTCACGGCCCATCGCACAGGTCAAAACTGACCATAATGTAATCTAAATCAGAGAGAACAAAACACCACACTGAAGGACTCCTGAAGGATAAATAGCTCAATACAATTTGGCGACTTTGCAAATGAAATACGTCTACTGTCTTTAATCCTAAATCATTGACACATTCCTTCTTTCTGCTCAATAGTGTTTGTATTGTACTTTTACCCATTGCATTAGCAACTGTATTAGGAAAATCTTGTACTTTGATAAAGAGGTACAAGCCTGTTTAAATAAGAACCTAAAAAGAAAATCTTTGCATGTGCTGCAAAGGATGGGCTGAAGCTAAAAATTAAAGTTAAAAATATAATGTTTAGTTTTTAGATGAATCTACTTTCAAGAATTACTGTTTTGCTTTTTCCTTGAAAAAGACTCACTACACACTAACATTCTGATATATGTTGAGAAATGTCAGTAACAGAAGTCAAGAGGGCTCGGTGAAGGTGAAGAGGTTTCTTTTTTTCTCTACTCTTCATTTAACTTCAAATTTTAATTTATATTCAGTACTAGACTGTCAAATTGTGATCAAACAAAAAGAGGTCAAAATGTCACATTGTCAACATTTGTTTGGGATCAGACGTAATTTATTTCTTCTCTTTGTAAGCTTTTTAGTATAATCTATCACCAAGGTAGTTTATTTTCTCTGGAGATGTTACAGGACAATATAAACGCTACCAAATTAAACCTTTGAATAGTCAACTACTCAAGTGTTATCTTATTGAATTATAAACTTCAAGGTTTCGTATTGGAGAATGTAAAATAGCGATATTAATAATCAGTTGATATAGCACTGAGGTCCCAATTAATCCTCAAGTGTTTAGTTTCAGTGCAGTTTTTAACCAAAAGAGTAAATAACTAATCTTCAGTGATCAATTTTTGACTAAACTCCTATCATGTTGCACATCTCCTTCCATCCCATGCACGGGGCCGACAGCAGCTCTGTCCGTAGAGACAAGGGACTTGGCTTGGGAACTGGAGGGCAGCTGGTTCAAGTCCAGCACAGACCACAGTATGGGGTGTGAACTGGTAGCTGCAGAGGCGCCAAGCCCTGTGTGTGCATGATTGTATTTCGAGCCTGTGCGTGTGTAAAAATTGAGTGAATCCCCCACTGGGGATTAATAAAGTTAATAATCCTAATATCTTTGTGCTCTATGCGCTGCACATGGCGCACATTTCTAGGCCAGCAAAATATAGTGCCAGTATTTCATATTAATGCATTCAAAACTAGGAGCCAAAGAAAATATGAACTTGTTTATCTTACCTGTTCCACAGGTAACACTGCATTCAGTCCATGAACCATATTTCCAGGAGAAAACTGACTCAGGGATGTCGTTGCCCTGTGAGACATTTTGACTGATTGTGTACTCGTACCGAACTCCTGGATTGGTCTCCTGAAAGAGAAGCTGTAACACACAAGACATTATCTAATAAATACAGGAGTACACAAAGAAAACTAATGGCTCTTCTGAAGAACTGAAGAACTAAATTACAAACGAAAACCCCCCTGCATATTTCCCGTTTGTGTTTCCGCCACATGTGAAGAACCATGAAGAAAGGATTAAAAAGGGAATTCGTTTGAAACAGCATTTTTGCATGCAACAGGACAGCAAGACATGCAAGAGAATGTTGGAAGGTAATATGCAGAGGCAGAAATGTAAGTTCTCCTGTAGCCTCTCAGTAGTCCCCTGTTTGTTCCCTCTTTTTAAACAAGGTACTAGGCAGTAATTTGTCTTTATAGCGGTCGCTTTCAACGTCAATAACATTAAAATATATCTATAAGTTTCTCACTAACCCTTTTCATTTCACTTGATTCAGAATGAATACAGTTTCGAGTGTTGATTTTGAGAAGTTAGCAATATTCAACACTGCAAACCGCACCCTGATAGCTTGTTGGATATCAGAAAGTTGGAGGGAAGAAACCACAGTCCAGGAGCAAAAGCTAAACTCCAAGCATGCCTTAAGGACATAAAAACCTGGATGACCTGCAATTTTCTGATGTTAAACAATACAAAAGTGAAGTTATTTTACTTGGCCCCAAACACCCCTGAAATTATTATTTAAAGATATAGTTGCGGCATATGGTATTACTCTGGCCTCCAGCACCTACGGAGTCTCGGAGTTATCAGGATATGTCCTTTAACTCCCACATTAAACAAATGTCAAGGACCTTTTTTTCGCCAACGTAACGTTGTAAAAATCAGGCACATCCTGTCTCAAAAAGATGCATAAAAACTAACCCATGCATTTTTTATTCCTAGGCTGGATTACTGAAATGTATTATTATGAGACAGCCCCTTAAGTCCCCTTAAGACTCTCCAGCTGATCCAGAATGCTGCAGCACATGTACTGACAGAAACTAGGAAAAGAGATCACATGTTTCCCATCTCTGTAAAATGCACTACCATATCTTAAAGGTCCAATGTGTAACATTTAGTAAGATCTACTGGCAGACATAGATTATAATAATTAAAGGTATGAACTCCTACATGCTTGGAACGGGAGAGTCAGGCGACAGGGTTGTAATCAGCAGCGACAGTACTAAATGCAACTAAATCCCTCAAACTGGTCCTTTAAATAACGCATAGCACCCTGTTACCTCACCAGAACACCGTGTTCCCCGAGAACAGAGTTACTTATGGTTCCTATTGTGTCCAAAAGTTGAATAAGAGCCAGAGCCTTCAGCAGTGAAGTTCCTCTCCTTGTGGAACCAGCTTCCAGTTTGGGTTCGGGAGGCAGACATTTGCGTCCACATTTAAAAGTAGGTTTGAGATGTTCCTCTTTAATAAAGCTTATAGTTTAGCTCAGGTCAGCTCTCAACCATCCCCTAGTTATGCTGCTATAAACCTAAACTGTTTGGAGACTTCCCACGATGTCTTCTCTCTCCTCCTCTCCCTCTCTCCGACCATTACGTATTCTTATCCCCTTAATACATGTTACTAACTCAGCATCTTAATATTAATATTATTACCATTACTTTCTCTATGTGGAACTTGCATTGTCCTGCTGTATGTCTCTGTAAATAATATTATAAAGAGTACGGTTTAGACCTGCTCTATATGGAAAGTGCCTTAATTTCTGTGTGCTTACCCGATCAAGGCAAAACTAACAAGAAACAAAAATGCATGATTTCCTGATGTTATCAGCACATTATACGTCAAAATCTGTTTTGTGTACTGACCACATGTGCTTACTTATTATAATGTTGACATAAATTTCTTTTTACAGGCAGTTTCAGTACTGATTGGCGTCACAAAGGGGCAACATACACTCAAAACCTTCAGTTAAGCTGTTAATCCGACCTGAATCCACAGTGGTTCCATGGTGGGCCCAGGAGACGTCAGGTTCTCCAGGTGTCCTGTCCTCTCATAGGTGAATACTGTTCCAGCTGCCTTGTACTCCCCATTCCACTGGATCGTCCAGCCGCCGTTCAGAAAATACTTGTTGGGGTTGTCACTTCGTAGTGCCAAGAAATTCCCGGCTTCAGCCACCTCCTCAATGCGGATGCCCCAGGCTCCCTCTGGGATCAGTCCAATGTCTACGTAGCCTAAAGGACGGCACATTTTATATGAGCAATGTGAAACACGACGCATCCTGATATAAAACAAACAAAAAAGTGGTAAAGACTGAGGAGAAAAATGCCACCTTGGATTAGTTTGTTTGTAGACACTTTAACAGATGGTTTGGTTAGTTACTGGCAAACTGTAAACAGCATGAAATATAATTATACAAGTTATGGGTGCCTGCAGTTTAACATAGATTTGTTGAATGGTGGTTAACTTGTTGCATTTTTGAGGAAACTACCCGTTAATGACAAACACATATTTTCTGTGCTCATATTACAAAGCACGATACACAATCTAAACTTTGAGATCTTCTACTATTTTTACTTAATGCATCTACAATGATTTTAATCAGTAGTTCAAATGTTTTTTTCCATCAATTTTTCACAGCAGGAATTGTATAATTATGTGTTAATAATGACATTAAAGATGGTTCTGTTCTATTCAAAGTCAGGACAATGTGCCAGTGAGCCAACATGGACAATACGAGGGTTGCTTTTCATTCTGCTAATTATGCTTCCTCTCCTCCTTGCTCATCTGTCCTCTGGAGGAGTATTAATAATTCTGATTATGTAAAGTACCTGTGAAAACAGACTATTAGATGAACAGACTATGGTTGTTATAATTGAAAAACTCAATAAAATATTGTTGAAAAAAACCCCTGTGGAAACAGGAATGAGCAACAGTGGCTCTAACATTATTAATGTTTATTCCTAGAATAAAAATGCTGTATGTGGAGAATCGTGAATGAATCATGAAAACACTTTTGTTTATGTTTTCTTCATAGGCCAAAAGGGGAATTATTTTCATCTTTTATTGTTTTCCCTTTAAGGTAAATCTTGGTTAATTAAGGAAAAATACAGCAAATATGATTGAAGCTGAAAAGGCTCTACTGTATCTGTAGTGTAAGTAATTAGGGAATAGATTTTATTCTAAACATTTATTTATAGCACTCACATCTGTTCTGTTCTTTCAGTAATAAACCCCTTTTGTTACTATTTTACGTAAGTCCCTATATTTTTAAGCTGTGTACTTTTAAAGATGGTTTATAACACACTATAACACACTTGTACACAGATAGAAGTTATATATTGTAATTGCAATCATCTATTTTATTATTCATACCTGTGCTTTTCCTACTATTATGTGAGTGAATATCTTCAGTGAAAAGACCTTAAAAAACATACCAAGTCCTTCACTCTCCTCAAATGTTCTCCTCACAGTCGTACAGGTGGAGCCGTTACCATCACACACCCCACAGCGATCCTCGACAGCGTTGGACTCAATCAAATAATCACAGCCTACATTCTGCAACACACATGCAACAAAATAAAGTCCACAATATATTATCTGGAATCACCCTCAGTGAATAAATTTGATAACGGACATTATGCAGCTGAATCTATAAAGTTACTATTAACTAAAGTTATTGAATAAATGTAGTGGAATAGAAGTGTAAAGTGGCAGGAAATGGAAACACACAAGTAAAATACAAGTACCTAAAAATTGTACTTAAGCACAGTACCTGACTAAATGTAACACTAGATACTAACTAAATCTACACTATTATTGTTTTCTTACACATTTTTCTTAGGCGTATATTTTTAAGAGGATCAATTGAGAGACACAGAAAATGTTTATTTTTCTATTTTGAGTCAAACTTCTCGAAGTGTAGTTTTCATTTTATATGAAAAATGAAAAAAAAAAACTGGTTTGGCCTTTCATGTTACAGAGACCCTTCAAAACACAAAATGGGGCAGGTAAGGCGGAAATTGTGTGCGCCTGACAAAAATGTCACAAAATGTCATGAAATCTGAGCCCAAGGTCTGTGATTGCTGTCCACTCAATATTCAAACAATGTCTGTATCAGTGACTGGCATTTTGGTCCGGTGTGAAGAGCAGAGAGATAACAGACCTGACGTTTTTCTATCAAGCTCATTTTAATGTCAAATGTACAACACTCGCCTGCAGAGAAAACAAAGTGAGGGTCAACAATACAGCATGACTAACAAAGCAGCAATTCAATGAAACAGAAATACAAGAATAGAATAATCAATTAGTCTTTAGAGAAAACAAATGAAAAACTGAAGAAGACACAATGAAACATAAATTATTTATCAGAGAATATGTTGAAAAGTAGGTACAGTATTGATACCTTACAGATGCCATTGATGCACATATCTCTGCTTTTGTTGCCTTCGTAACACGGTGTCCCATCGGTCACAGCATCCCGCATCTTTTCAGAGAAATGTTCATTCAGTGGACGGCAGTGCAGTTCACAAGGGCTGACTGAAAGAGTTTTAAGAGAGATCCAACAGAAGACAATGAATACTGTAAATTAACAACAGGAGGTTCTCTTTCTGAGTTCGCCTAAATGCTGTTACGTTCAACCGGCTCACCTCTGTTGATGACTGCTTCCCATTTGTAAAACTTTCCCTTATATGGCATGGTGTTAAAGTGACTACACTGAATGTCTCTGAAGGTGGGCAGGTCATTAGGACATGGTGGGGTGTTACAGATCTTGTACCTCCGTCGCTCTCCCAGACAATACTTCCCTCCGTACTTTGGACTGTAGGACAGACAAAGATGTTATTTCAGTGCCGCTTAATGTTCAAAACTTTGTGACATTTTGGAAAAAGGTGGGGCGATGAGAAGAAGCTTTATATATGTATTTGATGTAATGATAAAGGATCAGTGTGTAGGATTTGGCGGCATCTAGCGTTGACATAGCAGATTGCAACCAACTGAACACAGCTCTCCGGTTTCGAGAAAAAAGTATTTTTCAGTAAAACCTCGAAAGAGAAAGAGTTTGGTTTGTAGGTTCTGGGTTACTTCAGAAACATGGCAGACTTCGCAGAGGAGGACCCGCTTCCTCTGTAGATAAAAAAACGCTCATTCTGATTTTCAGGAGATTAAACACTAATGAAATCAGCTTGCTCTGTGTAGGGGCAGCCACAGCGTATCCTCTTATCTGATGTACCGTAGGCTTTTAATGCTGGATGGCCTTCATGGCGCAACGCTCCCCTTTTATCTGTGCTTCAGTGTCTCACCTAAGGACACTTACTTAAACATGTGGACAGAAGGCGGTGGGGCTTGAACCCTGGCAATCAGTGGACGATATGATCAATCTATCTATATTTTTAAGATTTTGTTGTAAAGATTTACTTGACAATCGTATTGTTGTTTTTATTATTATTATTATTATTATTATTATTATTATTATTATAATCTTTATTTATATCTCACACAAACACTAGACTAAACTAGACTCTTAAGGCCATTCAGTATTTGAAAAGAATACAAATCAGCTAATGGACAACAGCAGAAATCTTTTATTTGTCTTTGTATATAAATACATACGTAGTACAAACTGACATGTTTGGCTCAACTAATAAAAACAAATGTCAAATAGACAAACAAATGCAGCCTATAAAAAACCTTTTTTGCAAACATATACACTGCTCCTGTGATGTCTGTGATCTGTTTTTCTTGCTTGGCAATATCAGCCTTGTTTGTGCTCCAAGCTGTCGATTACATTACAGCTTCTACGTCCTCTCGCCGGCAAGTGAGAGGTAGATGAAATGTGTGAATTAAGTTACTGCCTGATGTTTTTTCATACTACGGTGGCTGCAAAACTAGCAAAAAAATGCCCCTATCTAGAGTCACTGTCTGGTTTCTCCGTTCTGGGCCACTGTAGGAACAAGCTGGCTCAACATGGTGGACATGGTGTAGAAGTTGACCCTGCTACCCCTGTAAATAAAAACAATCCTTATTTTCAGGTGATTATACACTAATAAAACATACCTATAGTAGTAGAGTATTTTATTTCCTAAATGTTACACACAGGACCTTCAAGATTGCACTGAAATTAAACGTTGGAGGATTAATTGTGATCTCAGTACGACATTAACTGATGCTAAATAATAATAACAATAATGTTACACACTGGGTCTTTATTCTTCCCAGATAAAGGATTGCAATATCAATTTAACTGTAAAACCAGATTTAAAAGCAAGAAAATGTATCAGTATCATTTAAAAGTATTTTTGGTAAAACTTACACTGGGTTATCACAGTCTCTGTGGGCACTTCGGACTCCAGCCCCACACGTCCTTGAACAGCCCGACCACTCACTCCATGATGCCCAGCCACCATTTACACTCTCTGGCTGATATCCGGTTGCCACACACTCTCCACTGAAACACCACTGATAAAGAAAAGCAAGCAGCAATGTTTACATCATTAATAAATTAACACATACTGTAAGCTTCATCTTCTTGTTCAGGAAATAAATGTTGCATTCTCTTCTATAGCTGTAGAATACCCACTTTAAGGTGGACTCACGATGTACGGTATCTCTAAATATCACTACACTTCCATGAGAGCTGAGAAGATATTGTTTAAGTTTAGACTTAAACTTTTATGAAATAGAAACAAACTTTCAGGGGAACAAGGGTAGGTAATACAATGCTAAGTATTTAATGAGTGTGGATTCTGTGATTACTGTACAATCTCTGTTAATAACTGCCTAGAGAAAACATAGAAATCTGTTAACTAATTGCTTTGTCAGAGAAAAATCCTTTTAAAGAAACATTATTTATCTGAAAATGTGTTTCCTTGTGGTTTGTGGTGTCACAGTAAGTCACTCAGCCTTGCCTTGCTGTATGAATCCTGCAAATTATGTGTGTTAGTGTCCATGCAACTTACACAAATAAATACTGCAAACAGAAAGAATAGGCCATGACCTGACACCCCTTCCCTTTAGAAATCAAACAGTGGTGTTTTGTTGACATTTTCATCACATACACACATACATATAACATACTCACCTTATCCTCACCACAACTGGTCCCATCCACAGCCCCATCCAGCTTTGAGTGGCAGGTTGTTCCCACAGTGCACCACAGAGTGCTGCATACATTCTAGGAAAACAAAGAGATAATAATTTACAATCTGTTTGCCTGCATTTATTTTCACAAGGTCACAAGTAAGCGAGCAGAGAGATGCATGAAAAGAATCATTGCTGTTTCCCACTTGAAAATGCAGTAAATAGGTTCAAGTTGTGCATGAATAACTGACTGTGAAACTAGGAGATTACACAGTTTTTTACATGTTGCATTATAAATAAAAAATCATGTTAAGTGCCCTGCTATCAGTTCCAATCAAAATGTTCTCATGTGTCATTACAAGTTTATCCCTATAGTTTGACTTAATAGCATTGTTTGACTACATTTCCGGAATTCACCCCTGGAGTTCAAGTACAAAAGGGTGTCATTAATTCTGATGGATGAAGCACACCCCCACACGCAAAGCCTAGTGTTTGTTCTTGCTTTGTGTGATAAGACATGACAGCTCTTCAGATACAGAAGATCAGATAAGGATTACAGTCAGGAGCTATACAGCAGGGACTGCTAACATTGCTCTATGAATGTTATATGTGCAATGTAAGCCTTGGGAAATATGTACTATCTTTCATGTCGGGATCTTCATTAGTTCTATGCATCATGTTCTCTACAGTGAAATAAAAAAAAATCTGTACTTTAAAGCAGCAGTTAGACATTTTGAGAAATTAAATAAAAGACGAATAAGTTTATTTCCTACAGCAGTAAAATCTGTATGTGTAAAAAACTAGAAACGGCAAAAGGTCAAACACACTGCTTAGAAAAAAGGAGTTCCCTGCAATTGTAATTGTCTCGGCCCATTCTCGTTGCGGTTGCTTGACATTTGTGATGAATGTGTGGACGACATTTTTCATTTCAGCCAAAATCGTCATTCTGTAGATTAGGATTTTTGAGATGCAAACGATTTCAGCATCTGAACTTTCAGAGTTCAATGATTAACAGTGATCTATGTGCAATATTTAGCTTCTTTTCCAGATAATAATCTTCAACTTTTGTCACTGATAACTTCAAGATAAACAGTTGGAATGACATATAGTATTGATCCTCAATGGAAAGGTCCCAGTGACTGAACATCACTCTCCACAGGAATTTTGAAAGACTGGCGCCATGTAAAAACAGATCTGTAGAGTTCACAACCTGGATCTGATTGCTCTCCAGGTGTCTAGCTGAGCCACCCGTCAGGACATATATCAGGACTTGCCCTCCTCTAGCTGTATTTCACACAAAAACAAACAAATCAATAGAGAAACCCTCCAAAAATCCCAGAACTGATCAAGTATCGAGCAATTTACGTAATCCCTCTAAACAAAGACACAAAACGATCAGATGTGCCACTGAGTCTCTACAGTTTTGACAAACTGAAGCCCTTATCATGCTGCGTACATCCACAACTGAACTATTATCAATGTAACCTCGTTTCCAGCTCTATGTGAAACTTGGCACAACAGATAGAATGTCACTGTAGTCTTGGACATTCAATTTAATGAATGAAGCACAATGTTTTACAACAAAAGGATAAGGGGAATCCAATTAAATGTACAAGTAAACATTTATATAAGTTCAGAAAGCACAAGAATAACACATAGTTTAAGGTTAAAGTTGTTTCTTTCATATTGTAGTGGTTTTCCACTTTCATGGTAAATACACTATACATTTTCGTGAAAACTTGACAGGGTACCTTTAAACGTGAAGCTGTTAGTAACCAAAGTATGAAATAGAAACATGCAGCACTCTATATTTAAGTAACCATGTGACTAATACTTCGTGAATGGATTGGATTTGTTTGAATTTGTGGATTTTCAAAACAGCAGGCTGCTGTAAATCTGTAGGCACCCAACTGTTTTTCTATCCTGTGGGGGTGCTTGTAAAACCTGCGCATGTTGTATTTATAACAAATTGTATTTATAGGGACAATACGTTGCTGGTGGAAAAATGGTTGTGTGTGGTCTCTGTACAATCTTTTGCTTCTCTTGTTTCTCTGCGCTGATGTACCAAATTCAATGTACTGAATTCTTCCCAGCTACAATACACAGTCGTCTCTAACAAACATGCAGCTCTAAAAGCCAAGAGGATTTAATCAAATTCGCAATGTATCTACTCAAACACACACAGCACAGGAAAGACTCCCCTAAAGGAGTCCATATGGAAATCCTGAGTCAGAAAATGTGTCTGCATCGATTCTTTACTTCAAACAGATTCTTTAGCAGTGAGCTAGAATACAGAGACTGGGTCAGGTCTTGTTAATGATCTGCTTGTTAATCTTCCCTAAACCTCAAACCAGTTGCTATAATTGCCTGATGTTGTGTGTGACCTATGTTACACACTACCAGCTACACAGTAAGATGTGCTTTTTGCTTATGCAGAGAGTTTAAATCCAGCTCATGCCATAAATCTAGGACTGATGATGAGAGGGGGGTTTCCTGTGCTAAATAGGGATGGTAGTTTATCTGGTGCTTGCAGATGTCAAGAAAATGAAACCAGTGGACTTTCAGAAAAACACATGGGCCTCGAGTATCTGCTTGTAGGATGGTCAAATAGCTTTGGGATGATAGGACACAAAACCTTCTACAAGGTGTACATGTACACCTTTCCAACATCTGATTAGAAGGTTTTGTATCCTATCATCCAAAACTGAAAATCCCGACATTCTCAACCACTTCAGGCAGCGATTGGTCAACTGTGCAGAGGTGGGAAAGGAGCCAGAGGTTTCAACTTTTCTCTCAAGTTTTTTTTTTTACATACCTGATGCATACAATTTCTAAGTATAAATCGGCTTTATATTTGCTGTAAAGCTAAAATTTTATAAAGTAGTGTAATCTGTAATCTTCATTCAGTAATGTTATCAAAACATCTGTCAAACAGCCAGGAGGGACAAAAATTATACTATCAATAAGAATGATCATTTTATGGCAGTGGTTAGTAGTTCATTGTACAGTTTATCAGCTGTTCTGCAGTTGTAGTTATTTAAAATATGCCCCTTAGTCAGGGGTCGTCAGTTTACTCAATGACAGAAAAGGGCTCCCTTAAGGAAAAAGACTGGGAACCACTGCTCTGATACTCTACACAATGTTATAATATGCTGTATGTATTATTTTGATTTGACAAGCAAAACCAAAGGAAAAAGGCTAATGTCTTTTGTAATTCTATAATACATTTTAACACCATTATCCTAGTTATATAGTATTGCTTTAAGATGTCTTAGTTTGAAACTCTCTTGAATTTCAAACGTCTCATGAGGCATAAATTCATTAATGTACTACTCAAACTGGACTTCTTGAACGTTTATTTATTGTAACTGGTACCTGTGGAAATGCATCCACAGCAACTCTTTTAATATTAGTTTCGGCCTGAATGTAGTCTAAGACAGTGTTATAATTCTCACTAAAAATCAGTGCAACCTCTCCTCCATTTCCAGTCTGTCTGGGTTATTAAAAATAGGATAAGTTTTGATGAGATCATTACGGATCAACTTGTCTCTCAAATATTTAACATTTGAAAGGTCACACTCAGCTGTTAAGGTGCCATCAGAATTAAAATTCTTATGAATAGCTAATGGCAGAATAGCACAATGTGAACGAATGTCAACTGTACAATTTGATAAAACCATTGCAAGACTAGGATCTATTGACACTATAGGAAGAAGTAACAAACAGTTGCTTTTTAGTAACACTGGTGAAGAAAGATCTGTTGGTCCCAGTCTGGATATAACAGCATTTGTATACTCACTTATTAAAGAGATTTGGACCTTGGAGGAATAATTAATTGTGGAGCTGGTGTGTGCAAGTGTTGATAATGATCATGTGATGTGACTGATGACCACAGTTTGGTGCAGTGGTGGAAGAGGTTTTCAGATCCTTTAAGTAAAATTAGCGATACTACACTGTAAAAATACTCCACTACAAGTAAAAGTCCAGAATTCAAGACCTTGCTTAAGTAAAAGTGAGAAAGTATTATCCACAAATGTACTTAAGGCGGCAGTAGGCAACTTAAATGTACACAATGCAAAACCTTCTGCCTCTCACTCTGCTGCCTTGCAGCACTCCTCTCCCATGTTGACCCTCGTCTGTTCAGTTTTTATAGTTCTCCTGCAAGGTCTTCCTTCTTTTCGCTTATTCTGTACTATATTCCACTGTAGGTAAAAGAGGTATTATACAATTATAGCTATAGCTATAGCTCTTGACGCAATTTTTGCATGTACACAGCTGAACCCAACATGGACAAAGGAAGAAACCATGACACCTATAACCTGGATACCCTTTGTTTGTACAGTGACACTTGCTACTTGTTACGTACAAGCATACCTTGATTGGTTGTTTGATTCAGACCAGGTCCAGTTTCTAAATACAGCGGGCGCTCCCACACACATATACACACACACAATGTTTTAAAGGAACCCTTCAATAAATACGGTTAGTGACGAGCAATGATCAAAATTAATTACCTCCACCAAAATTATAAGTAATATTGTCCCTTGCAGCTTTAAAGTAAAAAATACATAAAAAGTACTCATTATGCATAAAATGGTTCTTGTCAACACATAATCTTTTAACCATTTTAACAATTTTAAATTAGAACATATTAAATAATGTGCATGTGGTGAACACCCCAGAGAGAAGAAGCCATGTGTAAAGACTTAATTGACCTATACTGCAGTTAACAGTGTGGAATGGGCTAGAAATCAAGACGCTGATTACTCAATAACTTACTGATTAACTCTAATTACTTCTTAAGTTCAAAATATTTTCAAAAAAAAAAAAACATTTAAGTGGAGCACAACCAACATGTTTTTTTTAAGGATGTACTTTCTACTGAGGATGACGGAGAGAAGATTTGAGCTGATAAAATGTTAATGCACTCACCTTAGTCACCTTCAGTTTCTACTCAGAGTAGAAAGCTTAAAGTGGTGCAGTGAGGCAAGTGCTTTGACATCTTTTCTGTCCTGGGTTCAACACACAAACATTCTGCCCTACTCTGTTGGTAAAGGTTATTGGAGTTGTGGGCAGCAAATGATTGCAAGTACATGTAGTGCTTCAACAACAGAGAGGTTTAAAGGTAGCTGTTCTACTTTTCACACTCTAGCACAATGATTGTTGTGGGGGGAACCAAAGAAACATGTTGTGACAACTTTAAGAGTAGACTGTTGTGTCAGGTCATATGTGGGAGCGACTAAATACAAAGGTGAAAACCTGAAAAGAGAAGAAAAAAGCAGAGGAATGAAGAGAAGGAGAATAAAGGACTCGCATTCTTTCCATACAACTGCACAGGGCTTTGTATAGATTTATTCTGATTTATTTGTTGTCATAGAGTCTTACGTCCATGTCATCACAGAGCAGAGATCCAGATCCATACTGCAGCCGACACTGATGGGCAGCGCTGTACAGAACCCCGGGAAGCACCGAGTTCAGAGACAGCTTCTCCTTCACCGGAGCGTCATCAAGGCACCAGCCCCAGCCACGACTGTGAGGGGTGGGAGGAGGAGGGAAAAAAGAGTGAGCACAGTTCTACTTCAGCGCTAGTGCTGATTCACTGACAAGAAAATATGTATAAATAAACTGAGGATCTATTGGTAGAAATGTAATATAATATTCATAAGTGTGTTTTCATTAGTGTATAATCAACTGAAAATAACAACAGTTGTCTTTTCGTTGCCTTAGAAAGAGCTATTTTTAGCTACAGAGGGAGCGGGTCCTCTTCTACAGTAGCCCAGACTGGACAAACTGTACACTGGGCCAACACATTGGTCCTTTTAAAAGGTACCCTATGGAGTTAGCAGCACTATGAAGCAGTGTTTTTACAAGTGGGTCCCCTGAACCTAAACAGAAACTTTGTTTATAAAAGAACTCTAGGGCACCTTTAAAAAGTGATGAGATTATACAGTATGTAAAAAAAATGGAAACGTAAACAATGAAAGGCCAGCTGACAGGAAGCTAATACAAACATCCAGACAATCTCCACTGAGTGTTTTAATGGTGGGTCTTCGACTACAGGTCATCAACTTTAACTCAAACACGACCAGAATCGTGTATTTTGGGAAGTCATAATTTATATACAATTGTTCAGAGCTCGCAGCTGACATATGAGTTTTAAAACTACACTATTTCATGCCTTATACTCACAGACGCAAGTTGTTTTGTGTGTTAATCGGTCGTATTGCTCCTTCTGCTCCTTCTATTTGCGACTAATTGTGTGTATTGTCAAAAAAACACGGGCATACATTCTCTGTATGGCTTCTTTGTATAGGAGAACAATTCTCACAACCTTCTATCCTCCCACAACTTGACAATCAACACACAACTAAAGAAAGTATTGTTAATCCTGTGTTTACTATATCAGGGTGAATACCGTATTCTGAATACGTTTTATAATAATGGATTGTTCCAGGAAAATTAATTACAGGTATCACGATTCCTTCAGTGGTTTGTGTACAGCAAATTTGAAACTTTCCCTTTCCCTACTTCTTTAAAATCACTAAAGACTTACTAACTTTTTTTTTTGTTTTATTAAGACACTGTGTGTGTACCTTTTGTATACTCCGTACGTCGTTGGTTTATCTTATTATATCCGTTAATCTCCTTTTTATTCCCCACTAATGCACTGTATTTATCCCCGCTGAATGTCTTAGACTGAGGAACAACTGCTAGTGAAACCAGCTAATGTTCCCTTACTGAAGAACGCCACAGTATTACAAATGAGATATATGGTAAAGATTATAATATCACAATATTAGGAGGAATATTTTGAGTAATAGCAACAGTTTGGGTGGCGTAGAACCATAGCCAAAGTATATATTCTGTAATCAAAATCACAACATCATGCTTTGTTTTCTAATAAATGGTATCCTCACAGAAATAGAAATAAATTAGATAGTGGTTGGCGAAGTCAACAAAAACCATTGACATTTGACAGTACATTTGGGCAAATTTAAAAAAGGCAGCCTGAAGAGGGCATTAACGTCTGTACCAAATGTCATGACAATCAATCCAACAGTTGTTGAGATATAACAATTCACGCGGTATTAGTGGAAAAGTCAAGGAATCATAAAAGTTGTAAGGATTTATCCTCCGGGGGTTATGAACGTGTACAAACTTTGAAGGCAATTCATGGAAAAGTTGTTAAGAGATTTTAGCTGCTAGCGTGGCTACAAAACTTTTTGTATCATGCTCCAGTCACATGCTTTGAATGCCTGACTGAACCACTCGTCTTCAAGAATATAGCTCACTGATTGATTCTGCATGTTGGCATGCTATAAGTAATTACCCTTTACATAAATGATGTGATATTGCTTCAGTGTTTGGTAAAATCTTCAGCAGAAGCAATCACGTTTAATTAAAAGGATCATTAAATTTATCTGTCTAATTAAAACCTGCAGGTTTAATAATGTCACCTGTTCAAAATGGATTTGATTAAAAAGCAATTTTCATTTTTCTTTCCAAGAAAACCAACACAGACGTGTGGCAGAAAGTGGGCACTTGAGCCAAGATTCCCCGACTATACGTCAAGGTTTATTTTATAATAAACTAAAAGATTATTCTTCATTACATGCAAGAAAATACATTATTTAGTGTTAACAAAACACTGTGAGGTCATTTTTGTGCTCTACTTTTTAAACAACTTTTGTTTCAGTGAACAGGACACTTAAACAGACCATTTAATTGTGACCCACAAATGCAGATTTATATTGTTCTTCTGTGATTTATGAATGCACTAAATCATCAGGAACTTAGCAAGCGTCCTCATTTAGTCCACATATACTGACTAAACATCCTACATCTGAGAATTAATTATATTTATATTGATAATATGACATGATGACAGTTTATGTCAGCTTTGCAGATACTGCGGTCCAGCACAGCCCAGTGTGCAATCCTGGCAGCCTGTCAATCCCTTCCTTCATCTACAGACTAAACTACGAGCCGAAATACGTCTGGAGCTCTATAGTTAAGCAGCCATTAGTGCTGCTGCATAGCTGACCTGAAAATAGTTTCACTGACAGCTGAAAAGTGGATGGTTAAATTGACACAGTCTGAAACTGGTCATGACATTAGCTTTTAAAAAATCTGTGTTAACATCATCACTTCTGAACGACCTCCAGAGGATGGAATACGGCGAAGGGCAACACTAAATTATTAGTCAAGTGTCTCATTATAGCTTACTATTACTGTAGCCAATTACACTGAATTCTGTCAGTCACAGTAATTGTGAAAGCAGCACAAAATTAAGTGCTACATATAGTATTAACTCCGTATCACCTTGATGATACAGGAGAACTCCAAGAAAAGAACTCTGTAGGAATTGAATTATCTTTAATTTGAGGAGTGCATGTCTCACACAAATGGATAAGCAATAATGATAAAAAAAGTTATTTAATAATTTACTTCTAAGCAGCCGTGTTTATGCAGGTAAATATGACAAGGTGGCAGATAATCAGGTCTTTACAACATAAACATACTCCAAACATACATATTTAAAATCTATTAATCTGGGAATGTCAAAAGGAAACAGCGTGGAAATATCTAGATTCAATAAAATTACAATTTGAAACACTAATCTATTGGTATTAAGTCACAATGTGAATAATTGTATTGTCATCTTGAACAAATAACAACGTTCTTTGACGTACAGATGAATCGTTTCATTCTTCAGGGCTGGCACGAGAAAAACTAGCCAGCATCCAACTCTCCATAATGAGAGCTTTGATGGGATTGTGATGAGCCTGTGGTCCTTAACGAAATGTGAACTTTGTGATTTGAATTTAAATTATATGTCAAATGCTGCATTGCCAAAGCTCCACACACGAAAGGGAAAGATGGCTATGTCTAAGTTATTTGCTTTAATCAATCCATGCGTGATGTCGAAACGTAGTCTGTAATTTACCAGAGAAAAGGGAAATAAATCGTTGTATTAATGTTGGAGATTACTCTTATTGTCCTCAAATACTATGTGTTACAGAGTTGTCATTGATCCAGAAGAAGGGAAGACTTAAGTCTGGATATAGCTGACATGCTCTGGAACAGTTTGGTCTTCTGCACACCTGTAAGAAAAAAGGGGTCAGAATTGAAGCACACTGGGAACTGACTTCAGTGTGCGGATGTTCTGAACATAAAGAGAGCATCTATTCATTTGTGTTTCTCTTGGATAACCCTCCTACATTACTTTACACTGTAAAGACTACAGTGAGAAGCTGCAAATGAGTGGGCTGTGTTGCTGCTAACAAGATGTTAATAACTTGCATAGGATGTTTTCCCTCATTATGTGTCATGGGGATGCCCCGTTACCTGTAACTTAAATGTAACACAACATAGAGTGCTTGTCCACCTCAGCCACTTTTTACATACCATCTAGCCGGCAGGTGTCTGGGGTTTGGTAATTAGTACAGATGTAAGGTTAAAATATGGTAAGGGAAATTGTATTATGTTTGTGTTTGAGTTACATTAAATCTGGAAGGAAGCCTAAGAAAATATTTGGGTTTTAACATTTTCCATTTGATTAATTTGTGTGTTTCTCACCTCTCCTCTAGATTGCACTTGGCC